TAATTAAAAATAATTAAAAAATAACAATTTAAAATAAAATTTACCAAGATATGATATGCTAAAACATCTGACTTCGCCATAAGCAATCAATGTAGATCTGAAATTATTATATTTTTAAGATATCTACTATTCATATAACAATAGAATTTACTATCATTTTTAATATACTTCCTCTAATGAAGGCTCATCAAGGATATATTAATAATATAAAGTCTACAATTTATCGATAATTTACTATATAGGCATTATATAAAATCAAATTTCTACTACTATCTTATTCATAAACTGCTATTTTATCCAAAAATTGGTTCCTACTTTAAAATTGCTTCGACTTATATTAAAGATTGGCACACGCATAATATTTATTGTAAGTCAATTTTCATATTTATTGCTATGAGAATTAAAATAATGATGAAAGATAATAAACTAATAAAAAGTTTAAGATCTATTCATCTATAATCTAAACAAGGAAGATTAAACAACAAAATTAAACTTTGCAAGTTGACCCTTCAAGTGAATATGGTTTATTAATTTATAACGTAACATGTAAAGCTAAAAGCAAAACTAATTTGCAAAGTAAAAGTGAGGAAAAAATTGAATTGATTGTGATGAGTTTACCATTTAGTGCTAGATCTCAATTGTAAAGATTTTTCTTCATAAAAATGTAACTGAAAAATAATAAGTAATTATAGAGAACTTAAAAAAAAAAGATTTCTATCCATCCATTAAACGTTGGATCTTTCCATACTACTTTTGGATCTTTCCATAGTACTTTCCTAATTTGAAATTTTTATAACTATCTATCTCATTCATGGACTTAAATTGTCTAGAAATTGGTTTCTACTTTGAATTCTTCCACTCTTATATTACAGATTGACATATACATGTATCATTTTTATTGCTTGTCAATTTCCACATTTACTTGACAAATGTGGTCAAGCAAATGTAGACGAGAAAACTTGCAAGCAATTGCAGGGAAGGGATGAACAGAGAGGAGTAAAGGAATCGAGTTATTTTGGCCTTCTTTATAAAAGGTCCAACATTAACGTTGCTACTTTTTGGAAGAAATAATTTTCTACCACATATAGTTCTCTTTCTCCAAGTTTTGTGGCTCCCACTTCTTGTCACTTTATTGTTCTTATTTTCTTTTTATTCTTTGGGATTCATTACAATATGAATTATATATTAATTAAAACATCTTTAATAAAATTATTTGTTATGTTATTTTATTAAGAATATTTTAGTAAATTTATAAATCAAACTACATATTTAATGTACAGTCTGCATTATAAAACATTTTTTTGTGATTCTTTTACTATTTCTATCTTATTTTACTTGACAAAGTGGAATTAAAGAGGTTAAAAAAGAAAGAGTTTTTCTTTACATAATTAAAAGATCAACACCACTTAAATCAATAAAAAATACCTAATTACTGATGCTTTAAAGCCCAATAATTCTTTCGTTTAAACCCAACCCTGCAGCTTACTCTAAAAAACCACTAATCTACCTATCTATCTATTTATCACCAATTCCCTTATTTCTTTCCAATAAAAGCCCATCTAACCAAGCAGCCTCAATTTCATTACATAATTAAAATCAACACACGTCGGGCAACCGCTCAAATCCCCTTCCACTTTTCTCCATTTTCGATTCCCTATTCTTCTTCCTTATCTACGAGTGATTGATGCCCCACCATTGAATATTCAATTGAGTATCTAATTTTAAATATAAATAAAACGATTATACATATTTAATTTTTTGAAAGAAATTTGTAAACTTAATTACTTTAAGGTAATGATGTAAAAACAACCATTTTATACCACTTTTTAATACTATCCTTAAATGAATATATACATTTAATATTATAAATTCTAAATAAATAAATAAATAACCAATCATTTAAATGATATATAAAATTGTATAAAAATATAATATAAAAAATTATCTCTAAATTATTTTTCTATTATAATTATCCAAGTCATATCAAGAAAACGATGTGAAGTTAATAATATTAACTACTCCCAATCCCAAATTGACAAAACCTAAAAAGAGAAAGCAAAAAACTTTAGTAATCTCTTTTACAGTCTAATTTTTATTATGATGTCCTCTACGGTCATAGATAATTATTTGACAACATTATTACCAAATGGATAAAATATATATTTTTGACTAATAAGAAATTCGAGTGCAAAACTAAGATTAATTATAACTTTTAGAAATAAATCAAGAACCATACATGATTTTGAATAATATAATTTTAAAATATTCTTGAAAGTTTTTAGTAATTATTTATGTAAATATGAAATCTCCTTCATAACAGTCTAATTTTTCCAAATAACCTGATATTACAAACTACCATATCCTTCACCCAGCCATGCTTCATATGCCTGAAGGAAAAAAATTAATCATAAATATTTAAAAAAGGGCGCAAGAAGATTAAAATGGCCAAATGCAAAAAAGTTAAAATATTAACTATGCTCATCATGCCTACTTACTCACAACGAATATTAGCTGTGCTCACCATGCCTAGGCTGCTAAAAGAAACTTGTCCTCCAAAAATACTTGCAAATTCCTTAACTTAAAAAACCAATGGCTTCTTCATCAAATCAGAGAACCAATGCCAACATGATCAACTCAGAAAGTGAATTTATGTAATCTTTCTCCCAAAGAACTCGCTTGGCTATTTCTCCTAAGAAATATGAAGCATATTAAAGAAGAAACTTTTGATTGGTAGTTCTGTCAATCTTCACAATTCTAGCAAAACTCCCTAAACATATCATTTGGCTAAACAGCATTTGCAGAAATTCTAGCAAAACTTTAAATCTGTTTAGGGAGCCTACGGAAATTGAAAGGAAAAAAAAGGAGGCAAAAATACATTAACATACAATGAATGCAAAAAAAAAAAAGAAAAAAAAAAGGAGGCAACTTGCTGTAAAATTCGAATACAATGATAAAAAATTATTCACTAACACTTGACAAACAACAATGGGAAGTCATGTTGAAAAGTGCCAAACATAGAAGCAGTATTTATGTTTCTACTTATTTCAATCTCTCAAAAATATTATAGCTCGTATGACTGTAGATAATAAAAAGCAAGGAAAAAGAATCATGTGAATATCTTTTCTCTATAACGCAAAAAATGCAAAGACCAACCTGCAAATGTTATTGAAGCAAAATAAAACTTCAAACTTCAAAGGTCTATTAGACTTTTTAGAGGCAGGACTACATTGATTTTACATTTGTAACATGAGTAAAGAAAGAAAAAAACTGCATAACTGTATAAAAAAATAAAAAATGGTAGGTTTTCTCTACACAATCTAAAGTAATATTTAATTATTTATTCTTTTATCAAGGATAAAGAGTTATCCACTTCAATAATAATATTGGAAATTATGCCAAAAGATTCTTAGAAGATTAGTAAGCCATGAAATTATATGTAAAATTGATGTAATAAATGATAGACACTAAGTAGGATTAAGGATTCATATAAAAAAAATACACTAATGTACCAACCACCACATAATCTCTTAAGTTGCTAAAAATGGTACTTCCAACTCTTGAGATATCTCTTGATCATTAAAGAGTGAATTGATAAATTTGGCCAGATCCTAATATTGATCTACAATGCAATCCACTAACTATACATGCATGCAACACCCTAAATGGCTTCCTGTCGCAACTGAGCTCCTAGGGTCATTTCTTTGATTCCAAAGTTTGAACCATTGCTACCAATTCAATATAAACTTGTTAAAGTTTAATTCTGCCAACCTCTGCAATCTCTATATATCATTATATCCATAAGAATACTCCACGCAAAGCTTCATAACCTTCATCTCCCTCCATCTCCTTAATAATAAGTTAAATTCAATTATCCTTCTAACTAAGAAAATGTCACTCTAAATGAAGGAAAACAAAAAAAAACAACTACTAAAATCTTTATGCAGTATTTCCACAATTTAAAACTTCAATGGAAGAAAAATATTTTACAATAACCCATGCCTAATACGTAATTATTATTACTTTCCAAAATTAACCAAACTGACTTAAGCATTAAGATGCATTTTTCATGGAAATTTTCCATCATTTTCTCATCAATCAAATGGGACCAAATGAAAACAAAGTAAAATAGCGAGCAAACTCTAAAAGTAGAGGAAAAGATTAAAACAAAGCTCACATGAAAAAATATTGAGCTAGTCTTGGAGATTCTTGAGAGCGAT